ACAGATGGCCACTCGAAGAACATCAGTTACAGGTAAGCAACCTGCTTTTCCTGAAATATCTTTTACAAACCAGTTGCAATAATTCTATCTCAAACTTATTTGGGGTATGAACAAGGAGTGAATCTGTCTCTTTCACTTTCTCTAATATTATTACTTTTCTTTCAAGTTTGTTAGTTTACAATTTTTAGATGTATTTGTGAAAATGTACATGTACTTTTGATGAATTTATTTGATTACAAAATTCAGAGAATTCAAAACACAAGCATAATTACATTCAAATGCATGGAAGTGCATGGAAATTCAGGAAGTGCAAATTAGGTTACTTCATACTAAAATGCGAAACATAGACATTTCTATTCCATTCCTTATGGATGGCACATACTATCCAATGGGTTTTGTCTCCCCCCCCCCCTTTTATTTGGCATTTTCTGAAGAAAGCCCAGGACATGGGTGGAGCTGATGCATAGCAAAAGCAAATAAAAGCTTCACTGTGCATATGGAACTCATTGATGCAATTATCTGAGTTAGCGGTTATATCTTATGTAGTAATATTTGACCTAGTCCCAAAGAATTGCATGAGTAGTCATGTGTGCAGGCAAGATATGTATATGTTACAGTTAAGAGGTTTATTATAAGACTGCCCCATACATACTGTTGGTTCAAGAAACCTGGATTGTTCATGATTAACAAATAAGCAACCAAAAAAAAAAAATGCAACAATTAGAGGAAAATCCACTCCATCCTTTGCTTATCCATGCTGTTAGTCATATACAGTTATCCTGTGACTGCATAACTGTATATGTACATGGTATACCTTCTGACAGGGAGAGGGGAGTCCGCAGTATAACACCTCTTTATATGAAGGGAGTTGTTTTAAAATTAAGGTGGGAGATTGAATCATGCTCTTATTTTTAGGGCCATCTAAACCATTCTGATATGCATGTAAGCCAAGCCTTTTACAGAGTTATTTTGTGTCCTTAAAACATCTATAAAAGAATGGCATTTATCTGTTAGACCCAAAATGAAGATTACTGTAAATTATGGTCAACAAATGTTAATTACATGTACTATTTTTTTAACCTAAAGGACTGAGTACATGCATGATCAACAACTAGCAAAGTTTGCCTTGTTTGTAGAGAGATCCGTGGATTCAGTTTACTGTTTATTTGTATTTTGTGCCAGTTGCTCTTCTCACTCGTGTTATATTGACTTTGTATCTGCACTATATGCTTATCTTACAGACCATACAACATATATCATCCCCCATTCTTTTTAACATCTACATGAAACTGCTGGGTGAGGTCATCAGAAGGTATGGGCTGAGTTGTCATCATTATGCTGATAACACTCAGTTCTACCTTTCTTTTTCAACAGACATAGGTGTGGCAAATGATGTTCTGAATTGGGGCCTGGCCTTGATAATGGATTGGAAGAAGGCTAATAAAATGAAACTTAGTCCAGAAGATGGAGATACTGTTGGCGAGGAGTCCATCTGTTCAGATGGGTGACATCTTGCCTGTCCTGGATGAGGTTGCACTCCTAAAGGACAGGGTTCACCACTTGGGGATGCTTCTGGACCCTGAATTATCCCTGGAATTCCAGGTGGATTGAGTGTCCAGGAGCACTTTCTATAAGCTTCAGCTGAGATACTGGCTGTGGCCATATCTGGACAGACAGGACCTGGCAACAGGTAACTTCTCGTCTGGATTATTGCAATGTGCTCTACATGGGGCTTCCCTTGAAGATGGTCTGGAAACTTCAATTGGTCCAGAACAGGGTGGCCAGATAGTTAATGTGGACTGGCAGATACAAACATATAAAGCCAGTGCTCTACCCTTTGGCATGATGTACTCTGCATATAAGCTAAATTGGCAAGGGGACAATATACAGCCTTGCCATACTCCTTTCCCAATTTTGAACCAATCAGTAGTTCCATGTCCAGTTCTAACTGTTGCTTCTTGACCCACACCGAGATTTCTCAAGAGACAAATAAGATGGTCTGGTACTCCCATCTCTTTCAGAATGTGCCACAATTTGTTGTGATCCACAGAATCAAAGGCTTTACCATAGTCAATGAAGCAGATGTTTTTTTCTGGAATTCCCTAGCTTTCTCCATGATCCAAGCGTATGTTGGCAATTTGATCTCTAGCTCCTCTGCTTCTTCAAAACCCTGCCTGTACTTTTGGTAGTTATTCTCTGTGGTCTCTATCTTTGGCTGGAGAAGTCAATCAAAACAATCTGATTTCTGTGTTGACCATCTGGTGATGTCCATGTGTAGAGTCGTCTTTCGGGTTGTTGGAAAAGAGTGTTTGTTATGACCAGCATGTTCTCTTAACAAAATTCTGATAGCCTTTGTGTTGCTTCATTTTGTGCTCCAAGGCCAAACTTGCCTGTTATTCCAGTTATCTTTTGACTTCCTACTTTAGCATTCCAAACCCCCATGATGATAAGGATATCATTTTTGGAGTTATTTTTAGAAGGTGTTGTAGGTCTTTGTAGAACAGGTCAATTTCAGCCTCTTTGGCATCAGTGGTTGGGGCATAGTAGTCAGTCTTGGACTACTGTGATGTTGAATAGTTTGCCTTGGATTTGAACCAAGATCATTATGTCATTTTGAAGATTGTATCCCAGTACTGCTTTTATTGACTATGATGACTACTCCTTTTCTTCTGCGGGATTCTTGCCCACAATAGTATATATGATGGCCAACTTTATTAAATTCACCCATTCCTGTCCATTTTAGTTCGCTGATTACCAAGATGTCAATGTTCTGTCTTGTCATCTCATGTTTAACCACGTCCAGCTTACCTTGATTCATAGATCTCACATTTCAGGTTCCTATGCAATATTGTTCTTTACAGCATGAGACTTTCCTTTCACCACCAGATACATCCGCAACTGAGTGTCCTTTCGCTTTGACCCAGTCTCTTCATTCTTTTTGGAGCTACTAGTACCAGTCCTCCGCTCTTCCCCAGTAGTACACTGGACACCTTCCAACTGGAGGGGCTCACCTTCCAGCATCATATCTTTTAGCCTTTGGATACTGTCCATGGGGTTTTGGATACTGGAGTGGGTTGCCATTTCCTTCTCCATTGGATCACCTTTTGTCAGAGCTCTCTGCCATGACCTGTCCATCTTGGGTGCTCCTGCATGGCATAGGTCATAGCTTCATTGTGCTTTGGAAGCCCCGTTGCTATGGCACAGCAGTTATCCATGAAGGGGATTCTCACTAGAAAATGCTAATTAGGACTATTGGCATGGTTTATAAACTCTGTAAGTAAGTAAGTAAGTAAGTAAGTAAGTAAGTAAGTAAGTAAGTAAGTAAGTGTACACCTGGAATTGTGCCTGGAAACAGACCAGTAACCTGTGAAGCGTTTATACAAGGCATTCACACACATTCTGTGTAACCATCCCCTGTGTACAGTTTTGTTACTCTATGGTTGAAGTTTTTGAAAAGTTTTTGGAAGCAGCTCATGGAGAGTGTTGCCATAGTCCTAATTAAATGTAACTTATGCGTATTTTCCTGTGGTGACATTGGAAATGGCTGCAGTTTTATACAAAGCTGCTTCAAAACTTATTTTAGAGAATGCCTCTTCAAGTACAAATTCTTGTGTAGAGGGTAGGGAAGGTCAAAGAATAGTCACAAATTTTCCAAATACCACTTCATTGCAATGCAAATCTTGTGCTTGATTTGCATTCACATTTGTGAGCACTGCACACTTTGCACTAATGGGAACACTACATAAATCAAATGGGGTTAGAATTTGTGCAGCTTTTCTTTTTATTTCATGCATATTTCTTAAATTCACACAAATTTCTTAAATTTACCTTTAGATCAGATTGGGGCTGATTCATTCTATGAATGTCCTGCTTTAACTGCAACATACTCAGCAAAGTTAAAGTATGTGTGAATGGTCAGGCATCACGGTTTCAGTCAGGCAAAGCAGCCAATGGGCAGCAGCAGACATAGTCTAAGCAGAGGTCAAAAACATAGCTGAGCAGTCAAGTCCATTCACAGTAAAGAAGCAAGGTCAAGTAGAATTTGAAGGGCCAAGAGCACAGAGCAACACTCTGCATGGCAAAATCTGGGGAACAAGGTAACAGGTATTGGAGCTAAAGACAAGTGGCTAGGAATACACTGAAGGTTTTTAACATCAGAGCCTGGTGAGCCCCATCCAATGCTCAAAAATCCTTGTCAGAAACCCAGCCTTGAATAGTCTTCCCAGAGAGATATGACCATCAGTGAAATTTGGGCGAATGGAATGCAAAAGTATATTTGGCAATTTATGAACATTATCAAGAGATATGTGGTTGTGCTTGAATTTGTGAATGGGGTATATCATGTTTTACATGCAAAAGCAAAATTCTAATTCTCATACATCCTCAATGCAGAGATCATATCTAGAGTCCCAGCCTAAAACTACATCTTTGCTAGAGGCCTGACTAAGAAGGAGCATCTCTTTAGTACTTCTCCCATTACGGAACGTCTTCCTTGCTTTTACTGTTAGATGATTAGCAAAAACATTACAGTTTTGACTGCCTTTGTATGGTGGCAGGTAGTTTTGATTGCATGAGTGGGCATAAATTTTGTTTTTTAAAAAAAAATCTGTTGGACAGTTTTATCTTATACTGCTACTGATTTTTTGAGGGCAAGAAGAGCACTTATATAAAACAAAGCAATCTTTGGTGTTTGAGGATGTCTGATTCTGTACTTGTATAGCATGTGGCAAAAGATACAAAATATAAGCATTATTAATATTCTTACTTATTATAAATGTGCCAAGTGCAGTTCCTTATTCTGTGTCAGCAGCTGCCATTTCCCTAAAGTGCTTTGGGGAGTAGAGCTCACTGCTTGACTTCAGGCATCATAGAAGACAACTTTCGGAAGTAGGGACTCAGAAGATCTGCTGTACCAGCAATGCTCCCTAAGCAATTGATTAACAGAACATGAACATACTGGTTTCAGTATTTCTAAGTATGCCATTTGTTTTGTTTCAAAGGGAAGGCTTTAGGTTTTCATCTCAAGAAGCTGCTTCAAGTTTTGGTGATGATCGATTGTTAATAGAAAAGTTTATTGATAACCCTCGTCACATAGAAATTCAGGTTAGTATATTGTTCTGCTCCCTGGCACACCTTTTTGTGTTGTAAACTATGAGTTGAATTTATATCTTTTTGTGTTTTCCTTCATAGTATTTCACAGGCATAATTTTGTATAGTAAGAAAAGTTTAGTGGAAGGATTTAAATCTCTGAGAACTGTCTCTCTGTGAGCTGTGGTATGTGTAATTTAATTGTAGGAGTAGACAATGAATTCATCAGCTCTGACAAGAAATCTATAATATATTTCAAACTCCTTAAAGTTCTACTTTTTCCCAATCCAAAATCCACAATCTTTATAATTTATGTCATACAGGTTTTGTTTTCATTGTTTGGAAAATATTCAGACAACAGTTCAGTGATTTCTTAAAAGACAAAGTGTTCCATATGCGAAGAAGTCTTAAATAATAAACAGTTTAACTGACTCTGTGCTGACATAGTAATAGAATTCAACCCAAACTTTCTTAGGGTAATAGAGTTTCCAATAAAATCCCTGGATCAAAAAAGTGGGCAACTAATACTGCCCAGCCAAAGTAGCAGCTGCCTATGCAACATGGAAACTAATTTTAAAAGCATTTAGTAGTATAGCATCAGTATTCACTGGATATGCTCCTTGTCTACCACCCCTGTGTGCTAATGAGTACTTTGGGCTTGCATTTCTGAAAAAGCTGGTTCCAAGGCTCATGGAAAATTGTTTTTGAAATCAGATTAATTGTGTGTGTGTAGAGAAGGGAGGAAATCCATAAATGGCAGAGGTAGAGTTGACAAGTAGAAAAGCAGTTTCATGTATAGAATGGCATTGGGTGCTCAAAGAACACATGTTCAAAATGCCATTCTGGATGCCTTATATAAAATGTAAAATTCTATAAAGTATAAGAAAAAGGCAAAACTCGATCCAGGAAGGAAAATAGCTACAATTTGTGTTTTAGTTGGCCTGGAGTGATAATGCTGCTTTGAAATACCTTAACTAAAATTATTTTGTCTTGTTATTAACTGCGGAGATGATGAAGTTCTACTAGGGGCAGTTGGTGGCTAAATTTGTACTGAATAAATTGTCTTATATGATTTTGTTCTTAGTGAATAAATCCATGTGCCCGCCCACCTGCCCTCCCCCCCATACACACACACGCATGCACACATGCACGCATGCACACCGTCACCCTCCTTTCTCTTCAGCTTCTGCCCCCACCTCCGAATACTGGTTTCAGAGGGCATGGGAGCCCTGCAAATCATTATGTGAGAAGAGAGAAATTGGTCTTTCCCCCTCCCACACAAGTTAGAATGGCTTCTTCAAGTGCAGTGAGATACCTGGATTCAAGTTCATCATAAATGCAGATCATTTCAGAATACTATATGGGGATAGTAAAGTAGAATGTATTGAGAGGTGAATGTTGGATGATTGCTTAGTAGTCATGTGAACATAGTTTTAATCTAAGCACACTTATTTCTAAATACATTCTATTGAGTTAATGCAAAGTTGCTCAAAAGTAAATGTGAATGGGATCAGAATGCCAAAATTTTCTCATGTATTCCTTATTTGAAAGTCATTCTCAGTGTATACATTTAAAATCTGCAAGCCAGTTTCCCCTATTAGTTTAGAAAGAAAATGGGTAAGAAAGATTTTTCTTTTAGTGCTCTGAGCACTGTGATTCTGATTCAACAAATTCTGTGTTTCTCCCCTAGTATAAAGCCAGCATGCTCTATTCCCTCTATTTTGAGTGTGTTGCATGTTGCCTTCCTCCTGTTCTGTGTCATACAGAGAATGAATTATGCTATGCCACATTTATTTTTGACCCCTTGGTGGAAATAGATGAAGAAGGAATGCAATACAACCCAGTTCATTCCTTATCTTGTTTCTGGGGTGCCCAAATCTTGTATAGGCTTAGAAGCTCTGAATAATAGGCATTTATAGCTAATACTTTTTAAAAGCATTTGGTATATAATTTTAAAAATGTAATGAAATATTTCATTGATGCTGATGGTATTGACATGGGGAGAGGAGCAATGCGTTCATTTATTAACAGTGATTTTCTTCTAGGTATTGGCTGATAAACATGACAATGCATTGTGGCTGAATGAAAGAGAATGTTCTATTCAGAGGAGAAATCAGAAAGTTATTGAAGAAGCACCAAGGTGAGTCTCTGTGTGCTGTTTAAGAACATACAAAATGCTTAATTTTAATTGTATTGCCTCCTAGAAGTTGTATGTAGACATAAATCAAAGGCTGTGGACTGGATATCCAGACAGATTCCTGGTTTGAAAAAACACAGTGTTTCCTAGTTCAGGCATTATATTTCACTAGAGGGGTACTCTCCAGAGCAGCATTCCATGTTTGCAAGAATTGCTTCAGGATGGCAAAATTTACCATCCTCTTTGCAAATGTGGAATTGCTTCTGTGGAGCCAAGCTTTTGTGCGATGAAGAAAAAGAGGTGAGTCAGAAACCCATTCCTCATGTAAGTTGAAATTCTCTTTGGGTATGTGTGTGTGTCTTTACATGTGTGAGGGAGGGAGGGAAGGAAAGATTATGATTGATTCCTAGGGTGTTTACAAACAGGGAGAGCAAATAGGAGTTTTGTGGGGGAGACCAAGGGGGTGGGTCCCCTAACTTTTTTTTTCAACTTTTACTTTTTATTTTTCTCTTTTACTTCCTTTGCCCCCCTATTTTTTCCCTGCTTTGTTTTCTTCCTTGTAACAGAATCCCATATACTGCTAGGACTGTTTTATTCCTTCAGAAAGACAGGGGAAGCGGTGGTTGCTAAAATAAGCCCAGCAAGCTAGAATAAAAAGGCAGTGGGAAGGATGGACTGAGAAGACTCCACAGTGGTGGTGACCTGCAATGTCTGTGCATTGTTTGTTTTCCTGCTTGAGATTAACAAGTCCCACATGTGCAACAAGTGCAAACTAGTAGCCCTGCTAGAAGAAAAGGTGAGATCACTAGAGCAGTGAGTGTGCACCCTCAAGGAAATAAGATAAAGATGAAGCATATTTAGACAGAGCAGTAGAACTTCAACAGCTAAGAGCAGTACAGAAGCAAGAAGTACAACAGCAAGCTGAGGCAGAAGAAAATCTTGAGGGAAGGGAAAATGAGGGAGAAACTCCCTGGAAAAGGGTGACAGGTGCAGAAAAACTGGAGACACTCTGCAGCAATGGAAGCCATGGAAGTCTGCCACTGCTTTCAGTTACTCAAGGAAGAGACTGGAGGGCAACCTGACAACCAAGTATTAGCATCAATACCAAGGCTTGCAAGAACAAGAGAAGAGTGTTAGTTGTGGAAGACTCCCTGTTGCTTGTATGTCAGGAAGACCTGTGGACTTGTCAGGTATGCTGTCTCCGTGGAGCACAGAGTAGTGATATAACAGGAAGACTGCCAAGGCTCATGCAGCCCACTGACATGTATTCCTTCCCCTTTGTACACGTGGGGACAAAGGATGCTGCCAAGTGGAGCTTTGAAGAAATCACATCAGACTTTGAAACTTTAGGGAGGAAAGTTAAGAATTTTGGGGCCAGGATAGATTTGTCTTCAATCCTTTCAATTCTTTGAAGATGAATGGACAAGGAAAAGAAAAATACTGTAAGTGAATGTCTGGCTACAAAGGCAGTGCCAGCGGGAGAGATTTGGACTCTGGGACCATGGACTGTGCTTCCTGGAAGATGGACTGCTGGCAAGGGATGGATTGCACCTTACAAGGGATGGAAAGAAGGTGCTTGGCCACAGCATGAAGAAGTTTATCAGGAGGGCTTTACATTGAATCCTACAGAGAGAGAAATGCCTCTGGGCATTACAAACAGACAAAGGCTTATGCAACACAACAGAGGGAGCAGCTTCAACTGTGCCCAACCATGCATCCAAAAATGCATGAAGAAAACTAGAGTATAAAGCATGTGGTCTTCAGTATGCAGTATAATAATGCCTGGAGTATGGAAAACAGCATGAACTTGAACTCTTAAAAAAGGAGGGTGACTATGACCCGATAAGTAGAACTGAAACTTGTTGAGATGATTCCCATGACTGGAGTTCAACAATCAACGGATATAACCTGTTCAAGAAGTAACAGAAAGCGAGGTGGAGTTGCACTATAAGTTAAAGATACATATCTCTGCAGAAAAATGCAGGAGGATGTGCTTAGTTGCCCCATTTAGAAAATCGGGTTTAATATAAATCGTGGGAGGAATAAAAGGAACACCATAGTTGGAGTCTATTACTGATCACCCAATCAAGAAGAAGATTAGTATGAAACTTTTGAAAAGGTAATTGCCAGTGTTTCAAGGAAGTATGATGTCATCATTAGGGAGGTCTTCTATTTCCTTCCTCCAAGAGATTCCTAACATGTGTTGCTGATAACTTCATCCAACAAAAAGGAACAAGAGGAATTACTATCCTTGACTTGATGCTAATAGGGAAGACTTAGTGGAAAAAGTGGCTGCTATGGGAACTCTGGGGGAAAGTGATCATTCCTTACTTGAATTCTTGATTCTAAAGGAAGCAAAAACCAAAGCCAAATGTAATCAAACATGTGCCCTGGATTTTAGGAAAGCCAGTTTTGATGCTCAGAACAATGATAAGTCGAGTCCCATGGCAAGTGATTCTGATGAGAAAAGGAGTGAAACATGAGTGGAAATCTTTAAAAAGAGAAATTCTAAAAGCACAATTATGAACAATTCCAATTTCAGGAAGGCTAAAGCTAGGAATGAACTGCAGCTAGCAAGGGATGGTAAAGGCAAAAAAAAGCCTTCAGAGATGTCCAAAGTAAAAGATAGGAAAGAAACGGGTGTTCAAGTATTCAATGTGAGTGGCAAAATGATAACACTTGACAGAGAAAAGGCAGAAGTGTTCAGTTCCTACTTTGACTTTGTTCTCTCGCAAAAGAAGAGCTATGACATTCCTGAAGAAGTGGAAGTACAAGCTGAAGGAGCAGGATGTGAGCTCAAGATTGATAGGCAAATGGTCAAGGATCATCTTATTGGGCTGAATGAATTCAAATCTCCAGGACCTGATGAACTCCATCCCTGAGTCATAAAGGAGCTGGTGATATAACTTTCAGAATCACTATCCTTTATCTTTGAGAAATCATTGGAGACATGTAAAATGCCACATGGCTGGAGAAGGGCTAATGTTGTCCTTATCTTCAGGAAAGGGAAAAAAGAAGAACCTGGGAACTAAAGACCACTCAGTCTGACATCAATCCCTGGGGAAATTCTGGAGCAGCTTATAAAGCAGGTAGTCTTTAGACACTTTGAAAGCAATGCAGCGATTATTTGAAGCTAACACGGACTTGTCAAAAACAAATACTGCCAGACTAATCTGATTTGATTTTTTGATTGGATAACCTCCCCGATGGCCTGTGGGAATGCTGTGGACATGATCTATCTTGACTGCAGCAAAGCTTTTGACAAAGTACCCCATGATATCTTGATTGCCAAACTAATAGTGGGTTTGATGGAACAATGATCAGATGAATCCACAGTTGGCTGCAGAATTGCCCTCAAAGAGTGCTTATCAGTTACACCTTGTCTAACTGGGGAGAGGTAAGAAATGGGGCATTTTATGGTTTAGTCCTAGGCCCAGAGTTCAGAGAAGGACTACAAGGATGATTGAGGGACTGAGAACAAAGTTCTAAGAGAAGCAATTGAATGATCTGGGCATGTTTAGCTTGAGAAGAGAAGACATGGGATAAAGGGCTCAAGTAAAGCTAGATTCTGGATAGATACCAGGAAAAATTTTCTGAGTGTTAGAGAAGTATGACAATGGAGCCAGTTATCTAGGGAGGCTGTGGGCTGTCCTTCACCAGAGTCATTCAAGTTGCAACTGGGCAGCCACCTGAGAGGGATGGTTGAATTGGGAATCTTGCATTGAGCAGGGTGCCTTCTGACCTCTTCCAACTCTAATATTCTATGATTCTACTAAAAAATTGTTTCAAGTTGAAGATGAACATGTAGCAGTATTGTGTCAGGGGATATATTGAAAATTGTCATTCCTAAAATATATGTATCTTCCTTGTTCCATCTCCCTCCACTGCCCCACTTCTTTAGTGTGTGAGAGGGCACCCTTGCTTTATTTGTGTTTATTCCTGTGTACTGCTTAGGCTGGCTTCTTTATAGCAGCTTAATCAGCACAGTCTTTAAAACAGTTCTGAAATAGGAAATGCCTTTTGTTGCACAGCTTATTCTCTGACTCCCTTGCTGTTCAGATTATTGCATTTCTTTGATTTGCCACACTAATAGAAGCATAAGATACTTGGATCTTGTTTCAAAATGAGGTTGTTGAGAATGGAGACAGAATGTCAGGTTTCAGTTTTTAAACATTCTGAATATGCTTGTGTATCTGGATCCCTTTTCAATAGGAGGGCAGCTGGAAGCTGCCTCTACCATGCTTTGATAGGTAAAAGTTATAAAAGTTTGCAAAGGTTAATAAAAGCTGGGATAGGTTGAAGTAGCAACAGAATATTGGGTAGAAGCACTGCCAAAACATTTGTTTTTTTCCCTGAGTTGGTAAGCCTCTGGAAGATGATATATCTGGTGTCCTGTGGTGAGGAAGCTCTCTGGTTCAGGGCAGCCTTATGAGTGAATCCCATGAGAGTTCCACAACTGTACTCTAGGGCAGGAGAAACAGCTGTGCCCAGGGAGGGGAGGGGAACCATGCTGTGTGGAACAGATGAATCAAAGTAAGAAAAACAGAAAATTACAACTTTCAGCATTAGGGTAAAGTTGAGAGAATAATTTAAGATGCAAACTGTTACTGTCATGGGATGTCAAATCAGTGTTATAGGCTAAAGTTGAAATGTCAAGGCAGTTCATTTTAGGATCTTTACCATTTATTTCAAGCTTTTCACTGGAAATAACTCTAATACCTTCCTTCCATATGAGAAAAAAGCATACATACTATAAATGGATAGATAAACCCTACATAAACTTAAGATGTTGTACAATTTCATATGTAAAATAAGAAACTTGGATTTTTGTAATGTGAATGTTTCTTTCACTTGGGATTAATATGTGGGCATATTTTCATCTTTAAAGTTTTGTACTGATGGTACTTAGGAGGTATTGGATCACAGCTTCTCTGGAGTCCAGAAACAAAAATCAGTGGAGCTAGTTTCATCAGAATATGCATGGCCTCTCACTTCAAATCTTCCAATTTCCTTTCCCAGTGGGTTCATGCAGATATTAAATAACTTAGGGGACAGAACAGAGCTCTGTGGGACACCCCTGATTGTCCCTCATGAACCTGCAGGGCGGCCTTTAGTGTATGGGCTCCATTTCTGTGGAACTGTCTGTCCATTGATGTAAGACAGGCACCAACATTATTTTGCTTTTGGTGCCTACTAAAGACATTTTTATTTGAACAAGCCTTTTCAAACCAACTAGCTATTGTTTTATTGGCAGAATCTGATTTTAAAAGTTGCAATATTGTGATTTGATTATGATTATTATTTTAGTATTACTTCCCTTTTTGCTGTTCACTGATTGCATATTGTATAGGATGTAGATGTATATTGTATAGAATGTAGATATAAATCTTGTAAATAAGTATGTGGCGGTAGTTCTGAATCATACTCTTTCAACTACTGCCTGAGACCTGACTGGAATTATTGGAACCATGGCAACAGTGGTTCCTGTGCCCCCAAGGCCCAGTCCTGCCAGAAAGATAATGGTGGGTGATGATATCAGAAGCCAATGATATCAAAATAGATACTAATAGGACTGCCTTCTTCCCCACTCTGCAGTTCCCAGTGTGAGTCATCTCCCAAGGTGACCAAAACAACCTCAGCTCCACATCTCATCCAAACCTCAGTTGAAATGAGTGCCATTCAAATGCATATTGAATTGTTGAGGCCACAATTTTCTCAATTACTTTGGCCAAAATTGTTCTAGAAATTCCCAAATCTGTTGTGTTGAAGGAAGTTTTCTTTAATAAAGGCCCTACTACTGGTTCCTTCAGGCAACATGATCCTCCTAAAATTAAGTATGAATCACTTCCCTTAGCCATGTGGCCAGTCCATTCTGGCTAATTAGCAAGGATGGATAAGAGAAATAGATATCAAGTAGATAAGTGATAGCCTTTACATCTTCAGACACCTTGTCCATAGTTTAATGTATACCTCTCGCTTGATCAGACCTAGTGAATTACAGGTGATCATTTGATACTATACCACTAGCATGTAAGAACATAATTAGTTCTTGATGGGGAACATACTTGGAGGCCTACATTAATTACCCTGAGCATCTGGGAAAAAAAAGAGAGAAGCATGCATGTATATGAATTAAAGCACACCTGTTTGCTCTTAGGCTCACAGTCATGTGTTTTTGCTATGCATATAAAAAATTGCAGTTCCATAGATTAGTAGTAGAGATTTTTTTTTCTAGGTAGCATTAAGTGACTTGGAGAATGTGAGGGAAAGTGCTCTTTTAATAAATAATAAAGGAGACATATTATCAACCAGTGTGTAAACATATTTATCCACTTGTATGTCTGAAATCAAGGATCTGCAAACTTAGAACTTTTAATTTTAATTTTAATTCTGTTCATTTAAGTATAAGGGATTAATACAATGATCAGGATTTTTAAAGCATTTCTACTTCCTAGGCATGTGGTCCATTGACTGGTAATACTAAAGACTATATTTTAACTTAAGTTATAGGCTGTGGTTACTTTGTTATTTCCCTGCTTTACTATTTCATAGTTTTTTTACTTTTATTTTCCCCCTCTTCTATTTGATAGCTAAAAGTATAAAAGGGAAAATACATTTTCAGCTTTAAGCCATTTTTTTTCTTACACATGTAGCACTTTCTTGGATCACGAGACACGCAGAGCTATGGGAGAACAAGCAGTTGCTCTTGCCAAAGCTGTCAAATACTCATCTGCTGGAACAGTGGAATTCCTTGTGGACTCAAAAAAGAATTTCTATTTCTTGGAAATGAACACTAGACTTCAGGTACTGTGGGTAGGGGAGGGAATTATGTTATTTGAACATTAAATATAGCACACACGCTTTTCAACTTGATGTTTCAAAGCCACATGAAGTAACACTAGGAGAACATTTTGTCCTTAATACAACTTTTCCCTTCTAAGTTTGTGGCTTTGAGAATTGTAGATGGAAAGTGATAGATCTTGAAAAAAATACATCTTTAGTATAGTAGAAATGCAGTACCACTTACCGTATTTAAAAGAGTAAAACATGGCATCTTGTTTGTTCACCTGGTCACATAAAAACATGGGATTCTTTAGCTAAAGTGTTGAAGCCATAACATTTGAATGTATAGAATGTATGAATGTGTATAATTCATAGGTATATTTTGTGTAATACTCTATATAGCAAAGTAATGTCATTGAAGAAGCATTAATTGCATAGCACTTAAAAATAATATGGCAACACAGATTTAAGCATTTCTTCTGCAAACATACTGTACTATTGATATGGGATTAACAAGTATTAAATTAAAAATTGTCTTCAAAATGATTCTATAACCTGATTTTATGAACTAGTTTATGGTTGCTTCCTTGTGCTAAGCTATGACTGCAGTTGAAGCACTTTTTGTATTAGTTCTATCGTGCTTGTGGTTGTGCTACTGTGCACGTATCAGAGTGTAATGTGCCATTACCACTAGCTCAGTCAGTCAGATTCTACTATGTCCTTTACCCATCACCATGTAGCTCTAGTGCTTTCATAGGCCACCTTGCCTTGAAATATAGAATGTGATTAGCAGAGTTAGTTGCCATTCTCACGCTGATGAAATTATTTAAATTAAAAATGTACAACTGCAGCCTTGGAGTTGCTTTTCAGAATTTACTGTTCAGATGTTTCCATATTATTTATTTATTTATTTATTTATTAAAACATTTCTATGCTGCCCCATTCGCCGAAGCCTCGGGGCAGCTCACAACATAAAATTAAAATATAATACATACAACAAATTAACAATATAAAATAAGTCGCCCTGGCCAGATAAAATAAGCAAATAATATTAACAATTAAAATGACGTTTAAATAAAAAGGTCTTTGCCTGGCACCGAAAAACAATTAACGACGGTGCCAGGCGGACCTCTCTGGGGAGCGCATTCCATAGATTGGGTGCCACTGCAGAGAAAGCCCTCCTCCGAGTACCAACCCTCCTAATTTCTTTCACGGAGGGTTCCCGGAGAAGGGCCTCTCCCGCAGATCTCAAGGGGCGGGCGGGCGTATATGGATGTAAGCGCTTCTTCAGGTAACCAGGACCCAAGCCATTTAGGGCTTTATAGGTCATCACCAACACCTTGAATTGGGCCTGGACTTCAATGGGAAGCCAGTGAAGCTGACGGAGGACTGGAGTCATGTGAACATAACGCCCAGTCCCCGTCAGCAGCCTGGCAGCTCTATTTTGAAACAATTGAAGTATCCGGACCGTCTTCAAGGGTAGCCCCACGTAGAGCGCGTTACAGAAGTCAAGGCGGGAAGTCACCAGCGCGTGTGTCACTGTCGCCAGGCAGTCGTACTCCAGGTAGGGGTGCAGCTGATGAATCAGCCGAAGCTGAAGGAAAGCGCTCTCGCCACTGCTGTCACCTGAGCTTCCAATGAAAGCTCTGGGTCGAGGAGCACTCCCAAGCTGCGGACCTTGTCCCTAAGAGGGAGTGCAACCCCATTCAGGACTAAGTTCAATTCACCTTCCCCGAAGCCCAGTCCGCCAACCAACAGGACCTCCGTCTTGTCTAGATTGAGCTTCAGTTTATTGGCCCTCATCCAGCCCATTACCTCGGCCAGGCACCGGTTCACTACAGCCACTGCCTCACCTGGATTGGTGGAAAACGAGAGGTAGAGCTGGGTATCATCAGCGTACTGATGATTTCGCAGCCCACACCTCCTGATGACCTCTCCCAGCGGTTTCATGTAGATGTTAAACAGCAAAGGGGACAAAATGGACCCCTGCGGTACTCCATGGCATAGCTGCCATGGTGCAGAGCCATAGTCCCCCAGCACCACCTTCTGGAACCGGCCATTGAGATAGGAGTGGAGTCACTGCAAAGCAGTGCCTCTGACCCCCAGTCCTGCTAGCCTATCCAGAAGGATACCATGGTCGATGGTATCGAAAGCTGCTGAGAGGTCCAGGAGAACCAACAGGGACGCACTCCCCCTGTCCTTCTCCCTGCACAGGTCATCGTACAGGGCGACCAAGGCAGATTCAGTACCGTACCCGGGTCTGAAGCCAGACTGAAATGGGTCCAGATAATCAGTTTCATCCACGAGAGCTTGGAATTGTCCCACCGCCACCTGCTCTAACACCTTGCCCAGAAACGGGATGTTGGCCACAGGTCTATAGTTAGTGGCCATCTCTGGATCCAGTGACGCTTTCTTCAGGACCGGTCGGACTGCCGCCTCCTTTAAAGGGGCAGGCACCTGACCCTCCCTCAGAGAAGCGTTAACCACTTCCAAGATCCAGATCCCAATCCCGTGCTTGGAATTGTTTATTAACCAAGATGGGCAAGGGTCCAATAGGCAAGTGGTGGGACGTACTCGTCCAAGCACCTTGTCCACATATCTGCTTTGCTTACCTGCCACCCAGCAAGCAGGTCAACCATGGTTGGGAGGGAACAAGAAGTATGACCCAGCTGCTTAACTGAAGGTTTACAGAAAAAAATGGGGCAATCAGGATAGTGGTGAGCACTAGGGTTATAAGTGCATGGCGATTGTGCTTTTGCAAGAAACATGACCAGCAGTTGTGCAATAGAAATGTATATGCTTCAGTGTAACTGTTGTGGCCTCCCATTGGATAGTACCCAGAATAACAGCTCTTCCCCTATCCTAAACCAATCCATTTCCTCAGTATTTGTGAAACTCTTTTAAGTCTGTTGGTTTTATAACAGTGCATGGAGGAGATGAATAGACACATGAGAGCTTGGATAAACTTAAGAAAAAGACAGGGAGGTAATAGTTTGTGGTTGGAGTGAAATTGACCAGACTAGAATTTGCTTACTGTGTTTTAGTAGATTTATTTACTGTGCCATTAACTTGTATAGGACTGCAGCAAGTCCCATACAACCATATTCAAAATTATTCAGTTTAAGTTCCAGTGAAATAAATTTCACACACCAGCTAGAGTTTTCAGCTATCTTTGTGGCCAAGCTATCTTTGCTAAGGGTTTGTTTGTTTACACAAAATTAAATTGTCCACCATGACACTATGAATTCAGAGTAATGACACTCGTTAGTTCATTACTGTAGTGTACAGTGATGAGCTTCAGTCTTTCATGCTTCTTCCTTTCTTTCTCTCTTGCTTTGTGCACAAGGGAAAAAAAGAAGCTTCTACTTCTAGTGTACAGAAAACTATTGTTTACTATATTTGGATGAAATAGTAACTGACAGTTTAATGCAGATAAGTGGACAATTCTAATCTTTTCTCCTCATGTGTGAAGGCAGAGGGACGGAGATCAGGTAGTGGGTGAGCTTAGGGCTTGCTGCTACTTCTTTTTGTAATAGCAAATTCTGTGGTTCTTCGTCGTGGCCTCTGTGCATCACACATATGGGTTCTGCGCCTGCGCAGTGCCTCTGGCCAGAAGATTAACAGCTAACGGTTTTTGGCGGGAACTCCACTCCGCCTCCCCTCTAGCATTATATAAGGAGTGGAGTGTCCGCCATTTTCCAGTCTTTGTGACTGCCGTTCGTTGTGCCTCGTGCCGCTTCGCTCTCGCTTAGATCATTACTTACCTTCTCACTTGTTGAAAAACTTCCCTTTTTCTTACCAAGTTAGTATTCCCTCGTTCCTGTTGCTGTTACTATTTCACTTACTTCTTTGCTTTTCACCGTTTTTTCTCTTTCTTGTTCCTAAAAAAAAAACAAAACAAAAATATTACTTTCCCGCTTTACTATCTCCTTTTTTCTTCTATTTCTACGATGGCATAACGGGCGGTGTTCCGCAAGTGCGGGAAGTGCGGCTCCAAAATGCCCACCGTGGACCCACATGACCTGTGCCTCCTTTGACTGGGGGAAGGGCACAGAACTGATAAATGCGGCCATTGTTTGGCCTTCTCCAAACAGGCGAGGAAGAATCGGGAGAACCGCCTCCGTAAACTCTTGTGGGACCAGGCTCTCCTCCAATTGGACCGCTGGTGGCCAAGCCTCCCACAACTGTGGCTCCACCCGAAGGCCATCCAACTTTGGCCGACCTGCCGCAACGCCCGGCCTCTTCCTCCATTGCTCCGCCCTCATGCCCTTCTGAAGAAGGTGCTCATACCATGGCCGATCAGCCCGTTTCCCTACCAAGGAAACAAAAGGGGAAGAGAAAGCACAGCGATCCGGACAAACATCCTGTGCATAAGAAGGCCAAAAAAGATAAGGTGGGCAAGCCGGTTAAAAAGCCGAGGAATCCCGAGCACGCAAAGCATCACCACTCGGGTTTGGCAACTTCCTCCATCCCAACTCCAGCCATGGAACTGACCCCCTCGGTCCCGACCATCCAGGCGGCTATGAGGGTTACCCCGCCAGGCTCACCGCTCCGACCGGCAGCCGAACCTCCTCTGGATCCACGGCGTGGTTCCATCTCAGATGGGGAAATAAGAGATTCTCCATCGAGAGCTCGGTCACCAACACCAATGCCGCCTGTCCCTCTGGATACCAAGGTCGCCATCTCTCCCCCGAGAAGCCGCAGGAGCCGTTCCTCGGATGCTAGATCCAATGACTGGTACCATTCCAGATACTCCTCCGCTCTGAGACGGGAAGAGTACCAGTCTGTGGCCTATTACCCGGTTTCCAGGGGACGATCTTCGCCGCCAGCTCCTCGGGATCGCTTCCATTCAACACCCAGAGACACCCCAAGGGCTCCATCTAGAGAAAGCTGCAGATCAGAGTCGCCAGGAGATTCTTCGTCCAGTGCACCACCCCCCTTCTGGATGGAATCTGATGAGTCTGAGGCTGACTCGACCTTGCCAGATGCAGCGGTTACTTCGCAGGGCCCGGGGCCACCTG